CACGATTCTTCTGTATCATTCTCAATTGGATGGTTACTCGGTTCCATTGTGCTATCTGCTCTGGCTTTGACTACCTGGACTTCAGTGTGATTTTGCATTCTGGATTTCTGCGCTTCGTCCATATTCATGTTCCTTGCAATTGTCTTGTCAAAGGTCCGATGGCTATGGTCGCCGGCAACAGCACACGGGTATGGCCCCTTTCTCTGTCCCTCTCACTCTCTCTCTCGTCCCTACTCACAGTTCGCATGATCCTCTCAGAATACTCCTTGGTTCCCTCTTCTTCTGACCTGGCTACAGCTGCAGGTGTCCAGCAACGTCGACTATTCTTAAAGCAGAGCGTAGGACTTGGTCGCACACAGCAGCCCAGCCACGCTTCCGCCGGCCCATTTGAGTGAAAATGTGATGACGCACTCGACAACTGGACTTTTGGGTAGAATGCTTCACTTCAAGACTTCCTCTGCTGGTTATGGGCCGCCGCACCCGCAGCCAACCTTGTCGCTTCCGGAAGTTTCCCGACTTCAATGGGACTCTGCTTCTGACACACAGCCCTACCAACTTCTTCACTCTTCTTTCCTGTACTTACCAGATTCTGTGTACAACAGGCTACCGTCTTCCCCCGAACATAACGCACCCTAAAAATGAATGTATACGAGCTATATTTCCGGGCAGATACAGCCAAAATAAGGGAAGACCGAAGTAGAACTGGGTTGTACCTGGGACACAGGAATAGTGCTCACAGGACTGAGAGTTGGACTGGAACTAGAACTTTGGGACTGAGACTTTGTGACTGGGATTGGAATTGGGACCAGGGTGGATATCCGTGACATCCTGTTACTCCCTTGGGCATAGTTTCGAGGTCCACCTAGAACGGCTATAACTTTCTTTGCCAGTCTAGATCTTCTTCGAGCCCTCTCATAGTGAGATACCATTCTAGACGCAGTCCCCTCACCTTCTTCCTGATCTGAGAGATGCTTAGTCAACAATAATGTCTACAATGACTCCACATCGTAGCTACCATCCATGTCAGGCAGGATCAAAGATCTGTACGAGGGGAACTCACCATCGTTAACATGAGGCTGCAACTTCGAAGTACGAAAGACTGGATAATTGAATAATTCCTTAAACCACCAGTCAATGTAAGGTCCAGCACGCTAACCAAAAATTACATTTTTGCCGGGCCGGTAGGGGAGCAGAGAAAGGAATAGAGAGAAACAATCATTGTTCTTTTAACCACTGTTCATGCAAACCAGAGTTGTGTGTGGCCTTGAGGGTATACGAGGTCAGACTTCCACTTCGGGCCTAGACCGTTAGAGGACAGGCAGCCAAAGAAGTCTGTATTTTGTTTTGAGAAGCTTTGCATACCTCGTTCAATTGAATGTCTAATTCAGGCAGAATAATTTGGATTCACAGTTACAAAAAACCCGTCCGGGTTTACTATGATCTTGAAGGTTTTCTACGAAACATCAGAATCTGGATAATTGCATATAAATTATCACAAAAGGTGAGGACAGGCAGCCAAAGAAAACGTAAAAGGAACGGCCCCGTTGGGCCCAATAAAAAACCTTGAGAAGGCAGCCGTCTGTGCGAGTTCCTGCATGGCCCACCAAGCACAAACGGCTGTTCTCATGAATGTGAAAACGGGGTTGGGACCTAGGCTACCAGAGTGGCCCAGGGTCACTTGCCCGGCCGGGCCAAAAGCAATTAAAATATATATATATATATATATATATATATATATATATATATCGTCAAATAGAACTGCCCGGTAAACCGTAGGCAGAGAGGGAGAAGAGGACAACAAA